CTTCTGCTATCGCGCGTTCCCTCATTTTCGGGGCGCCGCAGAAAAGCGAACAAAAACGACCGCCCAGCCGCCCTTCTGTAGGCAAACGATCCCCTTCCTGCGGAACGGTCTGAAGCCGGAGGAGCGGCTGAAGCGAATGTCAGAAGGCAAGCGGCCGAGACTCTGGGGACCAGCCTCCGAGGGCGGGGTATCACCTCGGTGCGGATCCCGTATCAAAACAGCTGTTCAGGAGGCATCCGCGTTGACCCCCGTGGTCGGACGCGGAGGCCTGCTGAACGCATATGGTCCACCCGTATTTCTTACTCCCTTCTTGATGGTTTCTTAATTTTCTTTTCTTTTGCCTGGCTTTCACACTCTCTCTCTTCCTGTGGGCCCACACTGCAGGGAAATGTGCAGTCCACCCATTTTCCTTTCTGGCCGATTTAACCGTCAAATTGGTCTTAATTTACTTACTCAGTCAAAACTTCCTCATCAGCTTCAACTGTATTATTTGTTGTGCCAGCTGGCATTGCAGTCATAACAGATTCTAGTCCATTGCTGGCTTTTGAAAGGAAGGGGCAGGATGAAATCCTATAGCATCTAGAGAAGCCTTCTCACTTACCTGCAAAGAAGTCTTCCCTCTCTGATCATGAAACTAAAACCCTTCACAACTGAAAAGAGAAAGTCCAAGGAAATCAGTTAAAAAGAAAATAGAAATGGATGTATTTAGAGTTTGCTTCAAAAATTAGCACCTCGGTAGATAACACATTCCTGGATAGGAAATTAAATTTAACTCATAACTTAGGGCTTAGAAGTTTTTGTGCTTGAGTGGTCTGGCCTTTAGTGCTTTGGGCTACAACTCTGTGAAAATACAGCATCCTAACGTGGGAATTTAGGGAACTGGCAGATCCATAAGGGAGCACAGCTGTGCAGTGCCCACTCAGTCACAAAATGAACTGTGTGACTGCAGACCAGCTGATCGCTCCTTCCACCTCAGATGGTTTGTGAGGATAGCACTGGAAAGGAATGGAAAGAAATTATGTTCTCCTTAGAAAAAAAGGCAGGGTAAAAATGAGATAAATTCACCAGTGGAATTTCAGCGTTTATTCTTATTTCTTGCTGTCCTGTGAGAGTTAAGATCTTTTTAGACAACTCTTCAAGGCAGTAACAACTCTATGAGTTTCAGTTAGCCCATTCTGACTTGATGCCATGTTGTTGTCTTCTTGATCAACTGTGTATCTGCTGATGGCACTTGGGGGAAACAGCATTTATCCAGCAGGTGAAACAAATGTAGAATACCAATGATGGGAACCATTTTTGCCCTAAAATCTTAATTAATCCTAGACCAAGCCCTGACATGAACCCCATACAAATTTTTACACAGAGTTATACACTGTCTCTGACTCATTCATGAACATTTCCTAGTCCCACATTCTCAGCTGATCCTATATAAACTTGCAGGTGGAGAGGGCAGCTTCCCTCCCCAATACACCAACAAGCTCTCTTTTTAATGATGGGAAGATTGGAGATAAACCTTTTCTGTTTTCTTAGCACTGAAAGAGAGGTCCCTTTTCTAAACTCTGGGGCAGGAGGAAAGGCATAACTTGGGAGTTCCTATCAGCACAGGAGGAGAGGAGAAGACAGATCCTTTCCTTACTCTAAAAAGTTGTGAAAAAGTTTATCTCCAATGGCTTGAATTGAACCATGATCTTTTGCAGGCAAACTAATTGGTGTTCTTCTAAGCTACAGTCTATGTCAGGGGTCCTTAAATTGGAATTTGGAGAGCAAATTCTCACAAAATAGTTGCCATAATGGGTGTGGCCAAGAATAAAACTCCCATTTTTCAGATAACAAGGAAAATAGTGGGCTGTAGCCACCCATCATTTTCTTTGAGGTTTTGGTCAGGCATAGAGACATTGTTTTAATTGGGTGCTTTGCTTTGCAGCATGCCAGCTTCCATTCCAACAATAATTCAGCATTCTCTAACAGTTGAGATGCTCTAACTTCACCAAACATTTTTTGTGCAATTTCTGGGGACCTTGGGATTTCTATGCTGATTTTGTACATGGATGGAGCTGTGCATCAAGATCTGTAATCAAATAATACTTCTGGTTATTAATAAACAGAACATAATCTAATATAATCTAATACAAGAGGTTGTGCCCTGAAAGGTTTCCAAATGTGACCTCTTTATTGTGATAAAGTAATGAATTAAATAAAATAAAAACTCTAGTCAGTTAAATCTCTTCTCAAGGAAGCTGCTTAAAGGTACTACTCTAACCTTACCCCTTGTGAGGCATTCAGCCTAAATATGTATGGTCCAAAGTGGGGAGGGGCCGGGGACATATATATCCCACCAAAGTGTCCCTCCATTCCTGATCTCTGAGTCTTTATGTATTGTATTTTTAATCTAACAAGAATAAAAATAAGAAAAGCTATTAAAAATAAAATGAAAATATACATAAAAATAGCACAGGTTTTGTATTTTTAATCTAACAAGAATAAAAATAAGAAAAGCTATTAAAAATAAAATGAAAAGATACATAAAAATAGCACAGGTTTTGTATTTTTAATCTAACAAGAATAAAAATAAGAAAAGCTATTAAAAATAAAATGAAAAGATACATAAAAATAGCACAGGTTTAAAAAGGTAAAAGGCTATTCTATGCCTGCCTACATATATAATAACAGTTATCTTGCACTGGCTGCTGGTAAAGTGCCAAGCCCAGTTTAAGATGTAAACATTAGACAATAACGCCCATTTGCTTGTGGTCCCACCAGTGAATTTACCTTGGAGCTCAGTAGCTAGGAGAAGCATCTTAGCAGTGGCAGCACCTCAGTTATGGAACTTTTCCCTGAGGGAAGTATGGGGCTCCTCCATACTGGCTTCTTTAGACGACAACTTAAGACATATCTACTTGCTCACGTGTAAGACAAACAGTTGCTCTAGGACCAGCGTGCTCTTTACATTATGTTTTTAAAATGAACATTATTTTAATCCTTGTGTTGCTATTCTTTTTGTTTGGGACTCGTGGCTTTGTTTAACAGATTTTATTGAAGATTTTAAAAAATATGCTTGGTGTGTTTCAAGGAGAAAAAATGGGACAATAATAATACCCCTCTCCCGCATGATTTGAACCTGATCACACAGTTACAAGTAATGCTATGTGATGATTTTTAGAACACTGTTCAACATATGGATAGTTAGCAGGGGAACAAGGGACAAAATGTGTCATGACATCATGATACAAAAACCACAATTTATGTAGTTGTGGACAATATTAGGACACAAGTTCATAACAGCAGCATAGAGAGTAAGGAAAATGACCTTGAGAGAGATAGGCCACATCCTTTACCAAAGCAACAAGGGGAAAAACATGCCTTACGTCCAAGACAAGAAGAAGGCATGTGCAAAAGACTCAGGTAGACACCTCCCAAATACACATGACTATAAGGGGGTAAAGCATGGTCAGGCTTGCAAGGTTCTGTTACTATAGTCAATATTAATAAAAGTAGTTTTATTGAGTAAAGTTGATTTCTTGATTTGGTGTATATAGTGGGACTGACAGGCAGTGTCTGTGTCATGATATCCCCATGTGCTTATCATTTTGGCCCAATCTCAGTTGTCAGCCCATACTTATGGTGTGTATGTAATGGGATTGAGTAGAATTAATGGATGTGACCCTGGTCAAACACAATTTCATCACTTAGTAATTGAATATCTTACTAAGACTATTGCCAAAAAGGCACTGTTACACATTCCATATATTTATGGAAAATTTACCATGTGGTGCTGTCCAGATCTTTCAGAATATGCAGTATAAATAATCCAGGATGGCTAAGAGTAGATCTCTTTTAAGACATCTTGCTTGATATATAGATGTTGGGTTTCAGTAGAATGAATTGGGTACACAGTTAGCAAGGCCTGTTCTTGTCCTACCTATAACTGGATATCAAAGGGACCTGTCATTTCAACTATGGTACACAATTTGTGGTCTTACATACAGAACAGAATATGCAGAGCTGAACTGGAAAGACCTATTACCATATCTATGGTAGTAATAAAGTGTCATTTCAGTTTAGGTAACAAGGATCATTTCAGTTCCCACCCTGGCTGTGTCTTGAAAGATAAAAATTGACAATAAAAACATGCAAATCTTTTATTGAAATTGGTTGTTTAAGTGTAAATTGAATTTAACATTTTCTTAAAGCATTGTATAAAAATGGATCTAGCTCAAACCTATCATCATAAATAGGAATTGTTGTTCCTTTTATATTGTATGAACATGCTTGTTAACAGCAGTGTATGGAGGCAAGAGATAACATACCTGATTAGTCCTATTCTGTTGATATGGTATGAGCACAGCTTGTACAATGAAACCCTAACCCTCCTCTAAAGTTACAAAGATGAATGAGGTCAGTGAAACAGAAGGACATGTAGAGAAGATACAGAGGGAGGAGGAACCTCTATAAATGCAAGAGACAAGAGAAGGAAAGAACAGAAAGTGAAGGAAAAAATGCACAGAACTTCATTCAATTCTGCAATATGTATTCCAAGTGTTCTCCATTGACTGTTGAAGAGAACACCTGTCTAGCAGGCTCTAAAAGCATTTTTGTCCAAGAATATTATATGAAGTTCCTATCACTGGAGACCACTGAAATGATAATCTAACTTTTAACAGCAAAATTCTCTTCTGTTAGTGGAGAAATATTTTATTCTTCTTTTAGACTAATTCATTCTAAG